CTATTGTACAGTTTGACAACTATTGGACAGGAAATAGTTACTGTCTAGTCCCCTAGATGGCGTTTCACGAGGAAACACGCGTTAAGCGTAAAGAAGCGGTAAAGTTTGTGTTGAAAGAAAAAAATATTTTTTAATTAGCCATCGCCGCCCTAAACCTCTTCAACGCCTTCTAATCTTCTCTGTGCCCTTTACTGCTTCCCTAGAGGTCTGAAGCGCCCACAAGGGGGCGTTACCGCCCACTTTGAGAAATACTAGCCCAATGCAAGGTACACATAGTTCTTCTCGAATATACAGGATATCAATTTTGGAATATATCATCCTGCAAATTGAAAGAGAGAATAATTTTTTGGAAAGAAAGATTCTGGATTTCTATTTCTGCATCTTTACACAAAAAAAATATGTTAATCAACTAAAAAAAGGAGTAAAGCGAATAATTTCAGACACCTATGGTAACATTCAACATTTATAGAAGAAACAAATTAGTTCTTGGTGAATCTATAAGAGTCTCATTGCTGGCCATTCTGCAGATATTAGATCAAATATCTAGTAATTGAAAATATCGTTTCGTATCGGAAACAGAAATAAAATTGTTGTTTGCGAGTTATGCCTGAAACATAAAGTAAAAGTCAAAAGAAAACAATCTCTGGTCTTGGTGGCAATACTAATTACATACAATATTTTGTAAAATTCATCATGATTTCAAATAACTTTTTTTTTCAGCACTTTGCGTCTCATTCACATATGGATGTAATTTAGTATGGACTTCGCCTGTCTTGCCAAAACTGAGAGATAATGATACAAATGTCAACCCATTGGGGGCACCTATAGAAACTGGCGAGATATCTTTGATGGTAGGATTACCGTCAGCGCTCTCCCTAATAGCATCTTTTTTCATGGCAAAATTGCCAGATATAATAGGGAGAAGGGAAACTATGAAATACATGTCTATAGGAATGATTCTGTCGAATATTGCCGTAGCTTTTGGATCGCATATATATATTTACTATGTAGCCAAGTCCACATTCGCTATATTTGCAGGATCAGGTCTAATAGCGGTTCAAGTATACATGAGCGAAATTGTAGAAGATCACAACAGAGGAAAGTTTGGCTGTCTCATGGGTGTGTCTCTACCATTTGGAAACCTGTATTCTTTCGTTTTGGGTCCTGTCACGACCGTTCGAGATTTCACCTTGTTGAGTGTGGTGCCTTTAGTATTCAGTCTTGTTTTCTTCTATACTATTGTACCCGAATCACCAGTGTATCTAGCAATGAAAGGAAAGAGAGAAGAAACGATAAAAGCGTTAACAAAACTGAGAAACAATAAAAGAAGCAAAGAAATAGAACAGGATTATTTAGTAATTGAGGATTTAACAAAATCCAAGAGAAAATGTGAAAAACGTGGATACTTGAACTTGTTTGATACACCAGCACTGAGAAGAGCCGTTATGGTTGCTTTGGTAGTGAATATGACACAACATTTATCAGGCGTGGTAATTATCATGTCATTTTTGGGACCTCTTATCACTGAAGCAGGAACACAACTATCTGGAAATACAGTGGCGATTATTGTGGGAATTTTAAAAGTTTCCCTATTTTTTTCAACTTCTCACATGGTTGAACGACTTGGAAGAAGGCCACTACTTCTATTTTCTTCTTTCTCAACTGGTCTCCCACTATTTTTACTAGGATTGTATTTCTTCTGGAAAAATACCAATGCTGAATTTATCGAAAATATACGCGTATTACCAATTATTTCTATTCTAGCCTATGTAGTATTTTACTCTTTAGGCTTGGGACCGATTCCTATGGCAATGATCGGTGAAATTTTCCCAAGTGATATCAAAGCAGTGGCTACAACGTTCATCATGACCATCATTGCAATAGTAGTAACAATTATGTCTACGGCATATCCCCTTGCTGCTGAGTATTTTGGAATACAATGGTGCATCTGGACGTTTTCATTATTCTGCTTTTCCGGTTCTTTTTTTGTTTACTTCAAATTACCTGAAACGAAAGGAAAATCTTTTAGAGAGATTGAAGAACTATTGAGTAAATGAAGACTCAATAATTTCAACATAAATTGCGATGAATTTGCTGGATTTCTTGGAACATATTGGAATACTAACGTTAATTGAATTGATCAACAAGTTGACAATTTGAAATTTCTGTTTATCTTGGATATTGATTTCAGTAAAGCTTTCGAAATGAACATTTGTCGATTCAGTCCTGAAAAAGAAAACGTATCATTATCAGAGGTTATTAGAGCTTTTCTTTCAAGAATCAATAGCATTCTTCAATGTCACAACTCTTAGGGGTCAAAATTGTTAGGAAAAATGTGTGAAAATACAATGAACTTTATTATACTTAATATTGAAGCAGTTGTATCCCAACACCGAACCGTTATTTTAACATCTCCTCTTGAAGATGATAAGTTGGTGATCGAAACACGTGTGGAGGTGTTATAATGTGGCCGTATGGGAAAATCTGATAATTAAAATATTATTTGAACAAGTTATATAGTATACTAATAGGTATTGGTCCACCATCGTTATCCATAATATTATTATGTTTACTTATTTCTACACACAGATGCCTGTTGTCTAACTTGTCTAACTGATTTTGATGAACTAAAATCTATGGAATGGCAAAATATGATGGGCGACTGCTTATTTTACTGGTCTTCCATATTTTAGGTGTGCTAAGTGTTACTTAAATCTTATTTTAATAGATCTTCCAGTCTGTCTATAATATTTTGTATTGCAGTTCTTACATTTAATTTTGTATTTTTCCAGACTTTTCCGAATTTCGGACTTTGTACTTCGGATTTCCTAAAAAGCTCTGTAGTATATGACTTGTTTCAAATGCCACTTACACAACTAGTTTCTTGAAAATCTTTCCAAAATTTTTCGTGTACTCGTGGTATGGAACTGGGGTCACTTACGTAACCCATTCGGCGATGCCACAAGTTTTTTTCATAGTTATACGTCATATGAGCTATATAACTTTGTTTCAAACGGAAAGTTATTTGATAATCACTTCTACTACCTTTGACAATTAAACCAGCTTCAGTGTATAATTTTGCTTCTCCACGTTCAAAAACAATTTTGAATCCCATCATTTCCAGTCGCCTCACAGATAACAAATTTACTCTCAAATTAGGAACAAAAACCACATTCTTTATTGTTATGTCTAAATTTCCTTGTTTCACTTCGATTTGACCAATTTTTGTTGCTGATAATGATTGTCCTGATTTCGCGACTTCAATCGAAATTGGTTTCTCTAGTACCTTCGCAACGGAAAAGAATCTGTCATCGTTAATGAGATGATCTGTTGCTCCTGGTCAATGAAAAATGATAATAATTTCTTCTCGTAATTTTCAGTTGTCTGTTCTAATGTCAGAAAAGCAATACTAGCCACGGTTCCCTTTGCAGAGTCTTCATTTTCTTCGCTCATTTGCTCCGCTTCACTAGAGTTAACACTTCTATAATTTCTTTTCTGATTTTTAAAGTGACCCTTGTATTGAATTTAAATGGTCTGGATTCTAGGTTTTTCTTTTCTCCACTTTTATTAAAGAAGGATGCGCTTTGTAGTTCATCAATACTATGTCTATTGTTCATCTTGTTCTCTTTGTCGAATATTCTTCTTTTTACTAAATCCAATGTTAGTTTATCTTCAGATGATGTTTCTAATGCTGTAGTTAAACTATCATACGGTGATGGTAACGTAATCAATTAATGTGTAACAACTTCTTCCAATTTTTCACCTGCCGATTTCAAATGTCTCACGATCTCATCAAATTTTCTCAAATGACTTTAAATACTTTGGTTTTCCTCTGATTTTAGCATTAAAAGCTTCTTTCTTAAGTAAATTCTACTGGCAAGTCCTTTCTTTTGATATGTATTTTCTAGTGCTTCCCACATTTCTTTCGCAGATTTCTTATCATTAACGCATTCCAAATGCGAATCAGCTAAACACTTCACAATAATATTCTGGCATTTGATGTCCTTTTCCTTCCAGTTGGAGTCTTCCGGCAAGGGAACTGCTTCATTGATCACTTCTTCAACTTCATGTTCTTTGAACAGTAATTCCATTCGAAATTTCCAATGGTCGAAATCTGTACCATCGAAGTGACGAATTCCCAACTTATCATCTGGGCCCATAACCTTTTGGAGTTAATAACTTTCCTCAGTTAAAGAAAATGGAATGTTTCTTTTGACTTTTATTTACACAAACTATTTTTTTTTCATACAATAGCAATTATATACAACTAGATAAAATAAAATTATAAATCAACTAAACTGAATGATGTTCTCATATTCATAAGTCAACAATTTTTGAATTTAATATTCTGATTATTTTATGAACAATCCTTAATAAAAACTATTCGAATATAAATTGTTCTTTAAATATAAATTGTAAAATTTTTTACCAAAATTAGTTTTCACAATATTTCAATTATCTTCGCATCATACAGAATGTATCATTGAAAAATTTATATGAATACCCCCATTCCGACGCCTATCAACACTATCTTTAATGCAATATGACGTCGCCTCATTTGACGTCGTTTGTCACTATTTTAATGGTTCGTTAGCGGTGTCCTCAAGGGACATTGCGGGTAGAAATATCTCAGTGACTTTGTGGATGAATTGCAGTGCCACTTGTTCGAGGCGACTATGTTGCTTTCTTTGATGTACCTGCGTGTTTGCATTCTTGAAATTCTTTCACTCTCAGACAATACCGAATGGACTATGACAGTGGTCGGCAAGTAGTTTTGGGTGGGGTCCGGATACTGTGGGAAAATTTTAACGGGGTCCAGAAAAAAAACAAAATATTAATAATAAAGTGCTACATATTACTTTGGTTTCGAATCACATTCTGAATTATAAAAGAAATACAAGACCTTTTATTAATGTGAGAAACTACACCGACGATTTTTCATAGTTTGGTTCTCGAGAGAAACAGCAAATTCGAAGTGTGTCTTCTAGGTGAGCGTCTGTTAATCTCGAACGATATTTGTTTTTGAAAAAATTCATCTTCGAGAAAGATGTTTCACATATGCATGTCGAGCCAAACATAGTGGCCAAATTCATAGCTAGTCTTTTACAATTTTCATATTTTTCTGGGACATGTTTGGCCTGAAATTCTTTAGTGGATACCGTTCTATACATTCGCAAAGATACATCTTCTTGCAAATCAATTTCTCTATTTGGAGCGATGGCTTTGACAGATTAAACAACTTGGCAGTCACATCTGTCAAGTTTGCCGCTGCATCAATTTCAAATGAAGATTTAAGAAACGGAGATAGCTTGCATATCTCTACAAAGTCTTGGAATCTTGTAGCAAATTCGTTCTTAAGATTAGCCAGAAGTTTTACAAATTCTGCAATGTCTTCTTCAGAGGTCTCCGTTTTAAATTCAAGAATTGTCGGAAAATAAATAAATTCTTGTTTAACAATATCTTTTTCAAAGTTATCCAGCTTACTACGAAAAGTAGACACGCTTTTTATCAGATCACATATTAATTTTGCATTTCTTTGTAACTCTGTATATTTTGAAATATCTTTCAGAAAAACCACAACCAGTATATTGCGCTCGTTTTTTATAAACTCAAAGTGCTTTCTGGATCCCTGCGTATGCAAGTTTAGCAAGAAGGAGGATACTTGTTCTTTTATTAGCCAGAAACATTCAATAACTTGACCTTTACTTAGCCAACGAACATTGTTGTGTTGTAGTAAGTTAGAAAACGCAGAATCACATTCGGAAAGGAACTCTTTGAAATGTCAGTGCTGAAGAGCAGAATGGGATCTCATAAAATTAATCAGCTTGACTAAGTTCTCCATCACATCTTTGAGTGTAGCACTAAGTTTTCCACAAAGGGCCGCCTAGTGAATCATGCACTAATACGATATTAGACCTGAATTTTTATCTCTGATTCTCTTTACTACACCTCTTCCTTTGCCAATCATTGCTGGGACCCCGTCAGTTGAAAGCGAAACCATTTTATCATAACTGATGTTACATTTCGTAATAAAATTATCAATGGCCTTGAATAAGTCTTCTCCTAGAGTGTAACCTTTCAACGGCAATTTTGCTAGGAACTCTTCCCAAAAATGTGACACTCAATGTCAAAAAATCTTACGAAAATTGACATTTGTTCATCATCAACAATGCCACATGATTCATCAAGTGCTATGGAGTGGCAAAGTGCCTTTTTAAGAAGTTCAAAAAGTGACGTAACTACTGCCAACATACATTCCTACACTATCTCAGAATCTGAAAATGGTTTCTGGTGTTAATTAAGCGTCCAGCACACACGTAACGCTCCTTCTGTGGATTTTTTTGGTCGCTCATGCAACGAACTAGTAATTTTATACTCTTTCAGTGACAACTGAGATATGTCTGAATATTTTCTTTACGAGCCTGACTGCCAAGTTGAAAGTTTTTGTGGAATTGCTGATGAGTTGTTTCGTATTGCCGCTTCAAATTTCCACTTTTAACAATAGTGACAGTTTTATTGCATATAAGGCACACTGGAACCGCTTACGGTCTCAGGCAGCTTAAAACAATATTGTTCAATCCACGCCATCGACTTTCCGTTGTTTAGGATCCATATCAACGTAGGTACAGATAGATATTATATCAAACGAACGAAAACGACAGAAATCATAAAACTAATGTCCGGTTACTCTGTTGTTTGTGCTGCGACTGATGATGACTGACAGTCTGCCAGGGTTGCCAACCCAGAATTTGGAAAAGACGTAGACCAGACTGAAAAAGTTACGTAGAAATACTAAAATTTGCACATCAAAAGTTCGTAGATCTACGTACTTTTTTTCTGAGTGAATTGAAGAGGATAAGGTAGGTAAAATTGAATCCCAACAAGATCAGTTTCTCTGTAAAAAATCTGGCGCTGTTGAAAAAAAATTACAAAACATATGGGAGAAAAAATAAATGATTTTTTGCCATGCTTGGTGTTCGTGATCACAATTTCAATTATCAACTCAACGGTTACTTGGTTTTTTACTTAGTTCTCTTTCTGAAGTTTTTTTTTTGTTTCGGCACCCAAGACTATTAGCCCGCACAATGCTCTACCTTCTGGGCGCATTCGTAAGAGTGTTCACCAAAGGGAAATTCAAAATGGTACTGGTACTGTCCATTTCCATTAATATTCAATTAAAATGATTAGGATCCTAAAAATTCACGAAAT